AACGCAATGCTGCAATCCCCAATGTTAATGATCAACATTGATTACAAGGTGATTTTTCCAACAGAGAATCATCTGACCTGAAAAAAGTGTCTTGCTGTGCATATAGAGCACATACCAGCATTTATTAAGAAATCAGCTGATTATTATTCTGCTACTGGCTTTTATTTTCTTCTACTCCCTCCCTTGCAGGAAGGCTGCATACAAATATAGCAATCGATTGAGGGGAGATGTTCTTCCTTTACGAGATTAATTACAAACATAGGGATGCTGTGTCTGGCCTGTGTGTATGATTGATCTTGTAGGAGGAAATGCAATAGGAAACTAATGCTTCCTTTTATCCAGTAAGCAAAGTTCAGAGATGTTTACATTCTGCTAGGTAAGCACAGCTGTCCAAAGATGTGAAGACGGATGGACTGTCCTGTCAGCACAAATTCATGCCGAGGTAACAGGCCACACCATCTCTGTGGACCTCTTTCTCTGGCTAGGAGGCTGTAAGGCCAGAGTCGCTCATTTAGCACACAGCTTAATTGTTTCACATTTTAATCAGCGGGGAGATCCAGACACAGTCCACATACTACAAGGGGCAGCAAGGGGAAGGTGTTGGTGAACCACATGGGTGGGCCAGGGGGTGAGGAGGAAGGATCTTGGTGAGGCCAAGCACAGGGAGGCCGTCACAGGGCAGCTGTTCAGAAATTGCAAGGGTTTGTTCTTTAAAACCTAGCTGGTGTAAGGAGCTGTCTGCATATTCATTCGCTGCGTGTAACTGCAGAAGCATCTGCAAAAACCGCAGCGCTTAGCTGCCCTTGTTTCTATTTGTATATAAATATAATCTTACAATCGCTGGATTTGGTCCTTCTGAAAAGGTTCATTTCATTTTTGGGCACAGGCTAGCACTTCTATTTAGGCTGAGAAACAGTGTCAGAGGTGACAGATTCAGCTTAGTGACTCAGCTTTCTTCCTCACAGTATTTTAAATAATGGATGTGCTACTGCTGGTATTTAACTCCTGCCAGAGCTGCTGAAATATATGGTGCGTTTAAAATACTGGTACAACATTGAATCTCTGCTCAGGCAGAGGAGATCTCCACCTGGGATTGGTTTTCTAAAAAGGAAGAAGAAATCAGAGGGAGAGGAAAGGGAGGAAGAGGAGAGGAAAGCCCGAGCCATAATATCTTGTAACTCTAAGAATGCCCTTCACCTGAGGCAGCGAAGCAGTCAGCTCTAGCAGTGTGTTGACGGAGAATCCTGAAATCGATGCTGCAGTCCGCGTTATATTTATACAAGCATATGCACTGCACTGATGACGGGGGAGAGAAAGGGCTGTTCCCTGCGTTAAAATAATTAGTGTAATAAATACAGCCTGGCGAGCACCAGAGGAAGTAGGAATCCCTTTGTTCACATCTCGCCACTTAGAGCTGGGTAAGCAAGTCTTGTGGAGTTAAGCTCAGAATTTACTCACCCTTTTATTCTCTGTCTAGAGGTCTTGAGCAGAACGTGCTGCTGATGCCAGCCTTAACAAGCGACACTGGATCTCTTCTGCTTCACAGTGATGTTGAGGATTTTATGGGGTCTTTTCTTTTTCTTCTTTCTGTCCATGCAAATCCTGCCTGGTAAACGTGGATTCGTTTGCTGTTTAGCAGTCAGTTTGCTTGGCTTGACAAAGGTTATTGCAATAATTGATGTTCCTCTTCTAATAATTAATGTTAATGAGTCCACTAAACAGTAAACAAGACAACAAAGAACTGTTAATGAGACAGTCTTTACTCATTTGTTTAATCTTTTAGTAAGATAATGGGCGATAAATATGTCGCTATTCAGCCATCTTCAAGTCCTTAATGCATGGGGAGTGTTTTAAAAAGGGATTTGAGCTGATTTTTTACACTTGCATTTAGTAAATTCAGCCGACTGGGTAGGTGGGGCGCCTGAAAGAATTGGGAGACCTATATAATTAAGTGCCTTGACATTCTGGTTCTGAAGGACATTGGCGGATATCCAAATGCTATGTTCTGCTCTCTAACTATTTAATTGAAACCATACAAAAGTGGGAGGAGAGGGGCAGAAGAGAGGGAGATCTTGGCAAAAACCTTATGTGCGGTTTTTCGCTATTGGATTGACCAGACAGGGCAACAAAGCTGATAAAACAGGATTAGCAAAATTGCATTGTTGGATATTATATGCTGTGTGACATGTACTACAGCAGGGGAATTTGGCAGGATTAACCTGCAGAGGATAAAGATGTACTAGACAAGAGGACTGAATTAATAGACTGCTGTGACCAAAGCAAGAAAATCTATTTGCATGGGATATTAAGGGCAGTAATAACCTTGCGGGGTGGGGTTGCAGCTGATGTCCTAGGTCTAGAGCTCACCCCGCACCCAAGTCCTGCTCACTGCCTGGAACTTAGCATACAAACCCCAGCTTGTTGGCATGGCTTCTCATTACTCTTCCCTGTTTCTAAATATACATATATATATATATATACACACAAAAATACTAATCCTAGGAAGGATTATCTGTATTACTGGGTGTGTGTTGGTGGAATTTTTTTCCCCCAAAACTGAGATATTTATTTTCCTATTTATAAGAGATGACTTTCTTTTCATAATGCACTAGTGTTATCCTAAAGTAAATATTTGGGTTTGGTGGTTTTCCTCAGGGCTTCTAGACCATGCCATTACCTTACTGCTTGTTACTTAGCTGTTTGGGAGATTCTACAGTTACCCATGTGCAACCTAGCTGAAATCGTAAAAAAGCTTTCAAACCATGTAGCATCAAAGAACATGAAAGCTATTGCCAGTAGATGACTAAATAAAATCATATTAAGTAAAAATGGGAGAATATTAAAATTAAAAAAGTTCACACATACATTAAGACTATATTGGAGTATTTGACATAGGGGGTAAAGAAGCAGAAAACCAGCCTCCATGTCTGGTGTGTTAAGGGGAGAGAGAGTGGATTAAGTGTTCAATTCTCACTTATATAACATATAATACTGGTTTTTACTTGAAAAGAATTTTCAATTTGCTTCTTCCAGGCAACAAGCAATGCATATACAGTAGCCTGGTCTTTTTAAGTAGTCTGATATATTTCAGCGCAGATTGCATGAAAGAATTCAGAAGGATTTCAACAACCTTGAAAAAGGCTCATATCATTTGTTTTTCTGTTCCCACCTACAGTACTAGTGGCAGACTTCAGTGTTCCCAGGGAACAGAGAATGTACAAAAAGTATTTGGCACTACTCTGTGTGTGACACAATGTGCTTCATCAAGTGTGCTCAGTGCCACCGCACACGGTGAAAGATCTGCTCAGGGGAGACAATTCACCTTCATCTGACATTAGCGTGTCACTGTTGATCAGCACCAGCCACAACACAAGTTCAGCTTTCACATTCTTCCTTTCAGGATTGAAGGCTGAATAATACTTACACATAAAATATAATTTTTTTTTTCTTCGATATGTTAAAATTCCAGAAACTGCTCTTTAAATAAAAGCTCTGTTAGTACAGCATGACTGAGACCTTACAAGTGTGCACATGTGCAAAGTTGTCCAGAAATTTAGTTCCGTTTTCTACAGCAACTAAATTGCATAACCTGCCTCTGGAATATTTTCTGTTAGTGCATATGCTATTTGCTTTTCTGCCCTGGAACTATACATGACCATGTTTCCCTTCTCTGCAGGGGAAAGACAAGGCATGAAGCTTCCCTTGGATTAAATTGGGCAGTGGGCATGGATGGGGGGAGACGCTTCCTTTGTCAGCAGGGTCAGAAATTTTGCCTTCAAATCCAGTCTAATTCAGGAGAACTATTAAAACCCAGCACTTTCTCCTGGGAGGTGTGCTAGGCTGCATATTGCTTTCTTTCTATCCAGTTTGCTTAAGGACTTCTGCAATGAGTCCTCTTTCCAGGGATAGTCCTGAACCGATTCACAGAAACTCTGCCGCCTTTTGGGTTTTGGTTGCTGAGGAAGGTAACACACAAGATCAAATTTATTACTTGCTTATTTTTCACATGTGCCTAGATGAATTAGACCTTTAAGGAGTTGTTGGTAACCCCTTAAGAATGGTCCATGACAAATTCATTGCACCACTGGTGCAGCATTTTGAGGAGAATCAGGAAGAAGCACGTGTCTGCGTCCACCTTTCTTTGTCTGCTTGAAAAGCTGCAAGACCACTTGGACCCATGCCCTCCCCAAGGCCATTCCTGTAGTGCTGCAGTGTTGTAACCCTGAGCTCTGGAGAGAGGGCTCCCTGAGAGACAAGCTGTGTGCAGGCTGTGATGGTTGTCATGCTCACCAGTGTCAGTCCTGCACTGGCAGGGGAGATTTCTTTTTCCCTTGAGTCCCAGAATCTATAACTCCCCTTGTGATTTTAAAAGAAGATCAGTTTTCCTGGTCAGCAGCAGATTGGGTCCCTCAGCTTCTGAGAGCTCCTGAGGGATGGGTGCCTTGGAGGGGAATAAAGGGCTGTGGCAGACTGGTTCATTTGTGGTTTGCAGCAGGGCTTTGTGGAGTGGCACATTCCCAAGTGCCAGCGTGCTGGGCAGCTCCTGGGAGTGGATCGCACATGTGCTGGTGTCTCACCCACCTCAGTGGAACGGACAAGGTGCAGGCATGAGAGTTCATAGCCACGGTGTGCTCAGGAAGCCAAGCAGTCCCTGGGGCACTGCTCTCCTTTTGACAACGTCCTGGGATCTGTGCAAAAGCAGCCTGTTTCTCCCATGTCTCTGAGGGCTTGGCTGAGTTTCTAGGTTGCTTCCCCCGCCTGCCAGCCTCCAGCCCTCATGAGATGAGCACAGGGAATGAGTTGCAGAAGTGAAGCTGTACACATTTCCGACATCACACTGCAGCAGACACCTCTGTGAAGCCTTAGATCTTGAGTGCTGAGCAAGTTTGCCAGTTTTTCTTCCATGGAGACATAAACACTTCACACGTTTGTATTTTAAACAGGCATAGGTATGTAACTTGTGGGATCAATGGACCTAACCCTGTCACTTTGCTTTCCAGCACACAGCGGTGTGGGAGACAGACCACAGAGGAGAAGGACAGAGCACAGAGGAGCCCAGCAGTGTGGAGCCCGGCCAGGGGTCCCCGCAGGTGCTGTGCAGCAGCTGGTGTTGTGAATCAGGCCGTCACCAGTCGGAGAACGGCTACTTCACAACACCAGGGTTGCACCGCACCGCAGTTCGACCGCCAGCTGGAGAGGAGCCTCAGTTCCTGTGGGCAGGCAGGGGATGTGGAGCACCTCCTGGCTGCCTCCACTCAAGCCCAGACCTGCAAAGGTAATCAGGTGCTCAACTCCTATTTAGGCACCAGCCTCCCACTGAAGTCTGAAATAGAAGTTAGGCCCCTAAATATCTCTGTGGGTCTGGCCCCGAGACCCTGCCTCGCTGGGCAGTGCAGAGCAGTGCTTCAGCAGGCACAGGGCAGCACTGTCAGCAACATGGTCCCTGCCCCTTCGCATGCCGTATGAATGTTAAGGAACATGTAACTTTTATTAAACTGTGGCAAACAGTAAAAAAAGAAGCCTCTGCATGCTCCGTGTGTGGTTCTCCCTAACAGTCGCATCTGTGGTCTGTGCCTGTGACTTGTTCTGATCCCTTCCCTATCTCGACACCTGATTGCATATTCTCTGTAAAAGATGTCTACATACCAGGAAAGAAGTCGGGCTCCTTGGTGTTGATACTAAAACAGCCCTAGATGTGTTGTGATGAATGAAAAAATAAATGGTGGGGTCATCCAGAAGTGGTACGAACAATTGCTGTCCTCAAAATAGAGAAAATATTGCTTAATCAGTGCCTCCTAAATTACTGGGTGTAGAGGGACAGTGAAGCACGCTCAAACCGAGTGGCCCTGTAACATGCACCACACATTTCAGATCTGAAATCAGGCTCTCCTCTGCCTCCTCCTTTGTTCCACAACACCAGTGCGATGTTAGTTTGAGGGGAGTGAATTACAGAAGACTGCTTTCCATCCAAAATCAGGTCATGTACATGGAGGTTGGCACAAAGCTGATGGCCGTATACAATCCCTTAAGTCAAACTGAAATGCTGTTCAGTTTTGATCTCAGAAAGCAGTCATCTGCTCTTGGGCTCAGGATGGGGTTTTCTTTGGTGAGTTTTCCCTTCCTCCCACCCCTCAAAATGAGTATATGCTCTCAGGTGTGGCTGGCTGTTCTCTTGTATGATATAAACCACTAGATATGTCTAAAGCAAAGAGTGGAGAAATGCAGAGAGCAAACGATTCAGGTAACATAGAACTCATCTGATTGAAGATGGCAGTAAAAATGATTTAAATCTCTTCCTGGATGTATGATTGCTGGCAGGGAGATAGACAAGAGTCAGGATATGCACAAGACCAGAAATAGTATGGGCCTGGAAATGCAAATGAAAGGAGACAACGTTACATTGGACTCATCCTGCAGTTCAGATGGACTTCCTACAGAAGTAACCCTTCCTCTCTTAGCAAAAAGTCGACAAGCGATACCATGAACAATGTAAGAGGTGTATGGGAGGCTCACTCGTACATGAGGGGAGGGCAAACTGTTGATGCAGGCTAGCACTGGCTTTTTGTCATTGATGAGAGGAAAAGCAAGACCATGTTTCTACTTCAGGCACTATGGCAAGGAGAAATATGAATTTGTGAATCCAACATGCAAGAAGTCTGTTTTATTAAACTTGTTCACTGCTAACACAAACCATGTGGTCTGTATGGTAATCTCATTGTTATAACCTTGTTTTAAATCTTGAAACTTTTTACTTCAGAGTTTGTTTCATGGGGTAATACACATAATTCTTTGGAAACAGGAGGCATCAAGGAAATAGTCCCGATAACCCTTGCACACACACACTGATATACATGAGCAGCTATTCATATATGGAACTAAATCATTTCATCTTTTATTGTGAGCCAGAAACCTCTTTGACCTATTCAGTTTCTGTTGGTAAATGCACATAACATTTGAAATAGCTTAATATCTGCTGCCAGGTGACCTGATAGACTATCTCCATAATTCTTCAAGTATGATATGTGGGTGGAGACAGGCCATTTTTAGCTCCCTTTGTGAAAGAATTTCATGGGAACATCACACTTCAGAGGTATCTTTGGGGCATTTATTGTACTATAACTTAAATGCATCACACTTTATGCTCTTCTAAAGTGATTTCCTAGCAAATTAATGCATGCTATAATGTAGCACCGCTACTGAAAATCAAGCACTCCTTCTTGTCATTAAGAAGCCTGATCATGTCATCTCATGAGGTGGATTGCAGGTTGAATAGCCAACTGTCAGCTTCAGGTGATGGAAGGAATTTCTGTTTGCTCCCTTCAGCAGCTGGCACACACTGCAGCGAAAGGTGAATGCACAAAATAAATAGTTCAATATGAGCTTTAGATTTGTGTGAGTGTTATTCTTAAATAAGCACCTACAGTTGGTCTTCATGTCAACTCTAGTTCTGGCTGCTGAGATGAAAAAATAGGTGCTCACCAGGTTTCTGGATAGCCCCCAAAACAACAGGCCCTTTCAGTCTGTGGGTACACCTTGAGAGTTTTCTGGTGCTTTCCAGATCCTTTCTCCTACTTGCTTAGTATTGTAAAAAAAGGGAAGTTTACCCCAGAAAAATACTCCATTAGAATTGTTTGTAGGGTTTTTATAACCTTAAGAAAACACTGTGCACAGCAATGGGGGAAAAAAAAAAGCAGAGTCTATCAAAGCGGAAATGCTGGGCTGTAGTCTCTTGTGATATTTTGTTTTACGGGGTTGTTATTCCCCTGTATTTTATATTTAAGCAAATAATATTTAATTTCACCCTTGAACCTTTAAAATATAAACCTGATGGTTTTATTTTCTCAGCGCATCCACGCTGTTCTTCAATTGTTTTGAATGGGTTTTTTGTTTCTTTCCCAGGCTCGCCAGCAGCTCATGTACCACTTCAGAGAATAGCATCCTTGTAAATTTTGTTCTCTTTTTCCCCTGCATGCAAAAACCAAGCTGACAGGCACGGTAGGGCTCAGCATCTCTCACTCTCTAAGTGTTCACATGCAAGCTGCTTTGTTACTGTGGCGTTCCTCGTGAAAAGTGCCATTAACAGATATCCTCTTTGTCTCTTTAATTGGGCTTTCTCTTTGGCAAACAACTAATGTGAAATTAAAATGATATTTCAGGCAGCGTTGCAAAGCGAACAGTAGGTGGGGCTGAATTTTGGTACCCACAAACCTGAGTCAGGTTTTTTCAGTGCTATAAAAGCTTCACAACAGGAGGGAGCAAATAAAGAAACAGTCTTCCGGCTCCTTAACACAGTGAGCAAGAGGTGACACTAAGGAGGAAGAAAAGAGGCTTGTTCACAGATACTATTTTAAATACAGTACATTAGAGAGGTATATTAGATATTTTTAGAAAAATGAAGAGTCCTCCCAGTATATAGTCAGGCCTCAAATGTGCACGTAAAAGGGGCTGAAACCTCCCTGTTGTGCAGCAAAGTGGCACCACAAAGAGTATAAAAATCACAAAGTAGGCCTAAATAATTTTGACTCAAAGGTTAACATAAATAACAGAAGTGAGCAAGCAGTCTCTGAAGATCACATAAACTACTCAGAGAAGTTTTATAACCTATCCTCTAGGGAGATTCTCCTTGCTTAAAAGCCAAAGCAACAGACTGCTGTGTCATACTCCTTGTTTTTATGTATATGGGCAATTCCAAAAATTATGATACTTCTTTGATAAACAGTTGCCTCTCTTCTTTAAGAAGACTAACTACCACTGCCTCAATAAATGAGTTTCTACATTGCATTTGATTAGACCTAGCTCTCCAGCCATGCATTATCAGGAAAGCTCTGCCCACGCGTGCAAGCTTAATGCACACAGCTCTTGCTGCCACAGAGACCATTTTGAAAAAGATGTGCAAAGCAACCCAGCCAGCTGCACTCTGATACCCACTTCATGCCAGGAAATCTCTACTCCTAGGGACATGGTCTAGGTGCCGGGTGGGAGGCTGGGACCAGGTGCCCACACCTGTGCCACTGCAGCTTTGTCCCTGCTACTGCTCTGTCTGCAGAGTCTGGGGCAGGGGCTTGGGATAGGCTGGTTCATTCCTGGTCTGGGACAGCACGAAAAAAGCAAAACTGGGAAGAAACCTGAAGTCTATAATAATATTTTGAGTGCATGGCATCTCCACAATTCAGCTAAAAATTTTGGCAAGTTTGGGAAGAAAAGCCCAGTTTTAGAGAATTCTGACATATGTCAAAAATTCAACACCCAAATACATTGCCCCCCACATGCCTTTAGTGAAGTGGTTATTAAGATGAACAAACCTTAATTCCTTCCATTGCATAGGGTTGTCATGCCCTGAACTCTTTCTCCCTGGTCTCCCTGCCATTTGGGATGGGTAGCTGTGGTAGCACATGTCCCTGGGCCCTCTGGGAAAGCCAGCAGCTTCTCTATGTGAATAGCCGCCGTGGACTGAAGCAGCTGCTAACTCTGCAAATTGCATTTCATTTCCAAAGCTCCAGCTGAATTTCACTGCTGCAGACATCAGATATGGTGGAGGTCTGAAGAGGCAGCACTTTGTGCTGGTTTTACCTTGCCCTGCTGAGGCATGTCTGCAGGAGGGGGGTAGTGATGAGCACCCACCACATTGCTCCCCTCCCCAAAGATTCCCTGATGGATGAAACACAAGTAGGTGCCCACTTTCCTCAGCTGATAAAGAGCAGGACAGTCTTCTGGAAAAGAAGCTGCTCTCCCCATACACCCTACAGCCCTATTCCTTGCCAAATGGCAAAAGGCTTTCGCCTTTTTTAGGGGGTTTATGTGACTATTTTTAATTCTTTTAAAATAATGGTTTCCATAGGAACAGCCACATGGGCCAGCACATACCCCAACTCTGGAGATACTTTGCAGAAGACTTAGAGAGTAAAAATCCCCACATGCCCTGGGAACCGCTGCACATCCACAGGGTGTTGTCAGGGAAAGTACTCCTGCACTCCATAACCTCTCCCTTCACCAGATTTCAAAATATCTCATTTACTATTTTATTGTTTCAAATAAACTGTTGTTGTTCGACTGTGGGGACCTCCAGAGAGACCCATCACACAATGGCAGCATCTCCCATGTCAACTGCAACGAATGACAAGTCTCTGGTGAGAAACAGCAGCTCTTTTCCTCCAGGAATGGTTTTTAATCTCTTCCCACTTTTCCCTAGTCTAAACCCAAAAGTATCAAATTACATTCTGGCAGCTGGGTTGCTGCAAAAGCCCTTCTAGTTTTATCACTAGAATTAAAATCATACTGTCTTCAAGCCTCGAATTCAAAATGGCAATGTCTTTGCTGCTTAATGGCAAGGTAAGGGAAACAGAGCTAGTGACTGCTCCCACAGCACATGCGGGGAGCACAGCATCACTCATCCTGTCATGGGGAAGTGTCTGCTGACAGGGAAAAGTAACCCAGAAATCCATCCCCCCCTCTGCAGTGGTGAGCGTGCAGGCAGCTGCCTGCAGTGGGAGGTCATGCATGCCCCAGGGCCAGGGCAGCCACCGTGAGATTTACACACTCTGGACTGCACAGGTGGCTCAGTCCTGGGTAGCTTTGGGTGGAGTTGGCTTGTTTTAACCCCTGTGAAAGCCCACCTGATTGGGGTGGGGGTTTTTCCTTTATAAACAAAACAGTTATGTTTGTGCTGGGGAAACAGGAGACATTCACCAAAGTCTCCCCATCCCTGCCAGGATGAGCAAGCCCCTGTCCTTGGCTGCCTGTGTCCCAGGAATACCACAAATTCAGACACCTTCACCAGGGCTGCAGCTTCATTCACAGGAGCTGAAGACTTATGCCCTCAAAGACAAGACCCAGAAAAAATACCACATTGCAAAATACAGATGTTTATAGTGACTGAAATACTCAGTGACCAAGAAAACCCTCACATGAGCTTTCTTTTTTAATAAAGCAAACTCCACTGCCTTGTCATGTGAATTAATATCCCTGCAGCATGGCGTTGTCTATTTATTCCTTGCTGATGTTGCTTTTGATCACTACTAGATGAAAATGAAATCTTGGATGCTTTGGGGCTGCTGTTAAGACAGATTCAATGACATGAAAATGCATTTCAGGAAATATCAGTGAAGCCAGTTTTTGTTTTAATTTCCAGGAACACACAGGGCTTCAATTCCCTTGAGTCAGGCGGAATTCCATGCCTGCACGCTCACCACTGCAGAAGCAGGAGGGATTTCTGGTTTACTTTTCCTTGACAGCAGACACTTCTCCCCCATGACGCTTTCTACTCACTGGACCCGCAGCCTCTGTCCATCAGTCCGCCCCATCAGTCCTGTCTCCAGGTTACTCAAAACCCCATTTCAGTGGTTTCTCTGCCCTGCTCATGGCCTTGCAGGCAGGTCCCCATATGAAGGCATTACCTCTTGCTTGGGGAGCACGGGGACTTTACCCCACGTTAAGGTCCTCTTTTGACTCTATTATGGAGTAACCTCTTTTCTCCCCTGGAGTTTGTATCCCCACATCTCCACCTGGGAGGTGTACCTGCTCGGGGAGGTGGTAGGAACATCAGGTAACATTTTCTCACTCAACACTCGTAATTACACAACCAGCCTAAGGCAAATAGTGCCAGACCAGATGATTTGCACTGTGTAAATCACTGCTTTTCACAATCTGCTTGGTTCAATATCAAGACAAATCATTTTAACCTACATCTGAAG